GAGCGGAAGAGAGAGAGAGAGAGAGTGTGAGAGAATGTGAAAGAGAGGGGGTGTGAGCCAGAAAGCAAGTGGTTGGTAACGAAAGACGAAAACACTAGAGAAATACATATAATTAAATAGCTAGAAAAAAAAGAAGAAACAACTGAAATAATGTGAAAGTAATTCGTGCTATTTGGTACACACACACACACACACACGCAGATACTGTGACACACCGTTTTAAGCTTTAGTAGCACACTTGTAATTGCTATTCTCCTTGTTGTTGTTGTTGTTGTTGTTTAGTGAGTTCATCGCAAAAAATAATACACACACACACACACATACACTCTATAATGAAGCACACGCATTGAAAGAGAGAACCCCTAAAGAGAGAGAGAGAGCGCGAGCGAGCGAAAGAGACACCGCCCCCATTCGTCCCCTCCTTTGCCATTCCCCTTTGCACTTATCCCACTGAACGCAATTAAAATAAATAAATATGTGTGTTACTGTATGTGTTAGTGGTGCGTGTGCGTTTGTATTGGTTAAAAACAGCGCCTTGTTTGTACATGAATTAGCCCTATATTACACAATTTATATAAAGGTGTATTGTGTGTGTGCTTGCTGCATATTTTGGAATAATAAAAACAAATCAAATCAGCCGCATTGCAGTTTCCCCTCTCTCTCTCTCTCTCCCTCTCTCTCTATCTATCTTTCTCCCGCTCATTCACTTGCTCTCACAGTTTGACGTTTTCAAGTGCAAAAACAAAAAGAAAACAACAACAAAAATGAAAGCAATTTTCCGCAATTTTTCCCATTGCTGTTTTTGTGTTTTCCTCTTCATCATTTTGTTCACATTTGCGGGTGGGGTCGCATAATTTGTTAAATTAATTTTCACTCTTCTCTCCATATGGCCATCCCGCTTGCTCGCCCACTTCCCCCCTTGGGGCTCTTTTTCCTTGCCCCGTGACGTAGTCTCTCGCGTGTGTGCCCAAAAATACAACAAATAAGAACAACAACAAAAGCACAAGAACAAAAACAAAAAAAAACAGTAACCAAAACTAATTGAAAAGCCACAGCGCTGCCGGCGTCGCAGTCGCCAAAAAGAACAGTGCTGCTAATTCAAAGCGTTGTAAAAAATTTAGCTTGAATCTAGCTTAATTGAAAACTTTATAAACTTAATTAATTTCAAGTTTAAAGTAGGCTATAACAATTAAATAATATTCTAAAGCTTGTTAACGGCTTTTTATATGTTTTTTTTTATATATTGTATTTATATATTGCAATATATTAATTAAGTTATACAAATACAATATCTTTGCTAAATTTTTGAGCCTTAGGTTATGTTGAACTTGTAAGAAAACTATTATAAATGTAGGATTTTATGAAATTGCAAAATATTACACTTGAAAATCCAGCTATATTTTTTTATATTATATATTGCAATATATAAATTAAAAAGCTTTTAATCTTATATATCTTTGCAAAATTATTGAGCCTTAGGTCATGTATAATATCTGAGAAAACCTTATATTAGTAGAATTTTAGGAAATTGCTAAATATTACATTTAAAAATCTAGCTATAATTTTTATATATATATAAATTAAAAAGCTTTAAACCTTACATATCTTTTCAAATTTATTGAGTCTTACGACATGTACAATTTTTGAGGAAACTCATAGTAGTAGAATTCTAGGAAATTGCAAAATATTACACTTGAAAATCTAGCTATATCTGTTGGCGGATTTGCCGCTAGATTTGGCATCACTATTTGGAGCGTTGGCGGCAAACAAAATTGATGCGCTCATCGCGATACTCGCTTTCTCGCAGCTGATGCCGCTGCCTCTTCCACTTGTGTTTCTGTTTCGGTTTCTGTTTCCCATTTACAGTTCATGTTCCCCCTCCCCCTACCCCCAATCCTCTCCGCGTCCTTCTCCGGCTGCAGCAGCTTCTTCAAAAGCATCTCCCCCGCCTCCAAACTTCATCGTAATGGCAACAAGTTTTTCTCTTGTTTTTTTTTCACGTTCCTTTGATTGCCTTTAATTTTTTCATCTTTTTTAGTTGTTCAATTCGCTGGGCACTTGAGATCACGCTTATGAGTTGGTGTTTAAATCTCTAAACTTTTCCACTTTGTTATAACGAGCTTAGGCAAGAAACATTAAATAAAACTCCCAAGACGAAGTTTCTATGCTCTTTACAAAGTAATTATACCTTTGAAGGGTATTAAAATGTGGGTTAGAAGCTTGTAACTCATGAAGGAGGCATTTCCGACCCTATAAATCATATATATTCTTGACCTGCATCAAAAACTGAATCGATTTAGTCATTTTAGGCAACAAAATAATTTTTTTTAACTTTTTTCTAAAATTTTAAGGGATTAAATCATTAAAATGAACAACAAAATTTATGAAAAAATTCGACTTTGTTAAAATTTCAAATTGAGTACGCAGACTTATCAATCTATAAAAAACTAACATAGGAAAGCTTTCCAAATGGAAATTAATGCATTTTGGCTAAGTTACAACATTTTTAAGCTTTGATTTGTAGTACACATTTTCATATAAAAATATATATAAATATGGCTCAAAAAATGGTATTCTAATTTCTGTCAGAAGCTTAAAATTAAGTAAAGGAGTCATTTCTTATATTCTTGATTAGTATAAACAGCCGAATCGATCTAGCCATGTCTAGAGCAAAACATTTTTTTTGAATTTTTTGTTCAAATTTTCATCATTAAATTTGATATTGTTAAAAAGTTAAAATTTGACAAAATTTTAAATTGCGTAAATTGTAAAACTTTATATGCAGATTTTTTAATCCTATGAAAACTAGCACAGAACAGCTTTCCGAAATGAAATTAATGCATTTTTGGCTTAGTTATGATATTTAATATATTTAGGTTAATATACAAAAGGCCAATAATTGCCTAATAGACGCCATCTCAGAAAAAAATAAATTAATGCATATTTATAAGAAGAACCCTTATCTTTAAGATAATTAAAATATTTTACAATTGAAATCCCTCTTTTAAGGGTATTGTATGTTTTGTTTTAATAATATCAAAATGATTGATAATATAGTAAATATAACATTCGAATCTAACACGTATTTTATAGGGTATATAGTTTCGTTATAAACTTTTGCAAGGGCATAAAAAAACCTTTGGAGTCCAAAAACAAACTGAAGACGCATATATATTTCATCTCTATTTTTTATATCTTTAAAACTTGTTTTTCTGAGCTTGTAACTCTTGTTCTCGTTCTCGTTCTTGTTCTTGTTCCACTTGTACTTGTACTTGTTATTGTTGTTGTTGTTTCCATTCGCATATCAATTTCGGCACATGACGTAATCTTCACATGCTCAATAATAACATAATAATAACAACAACACACACATTGAGTTATGAAGTGTATTTGAAATGTAAACAGACAAAAAAGTGGCCGGGGGGGGGAAGGGCTTTTATATAGTGAACGAGTCGGTTGTCGTTGTTGTTGTGTGTTAGGCTCTCTATTTTATTTATTCGCTACTTGTTGGGTTCTCTTTTTAGTTTTGGACAGGTTTTTTAGGGTTCAAAGCTCTGGGGACAATGGCTATAATAAAAAAATCCCTAGAGAGAGGTAGAGATGAAGGAAAGATGGAAGCTGTAGGAAGTGAATGGAAGTCAGAGTCGTTGTTGTAGAGTTTTTATAAACTAAATCTGATATACCCATTCCCATTCCGATTCCCATTCCCACTCTTAGATCATACAGTGCGTTTCGGCTCAGTAAATCTCAGGCTTTTCACACAATCCGATACGGGCCATAAATGAAGTCATCGATCGGCATAAACCAGTTATAAATATACAGATAAAATGTGAGCCATAAAATCCGATGGATTTCCAGTCTACAGGTTTTTTTTTGCCATTAAACTAAAAATAAAATCAATTTTAATTGATTTTTTTTAACAAATAAGGGTATAACTTTAATAGAGATACCTTTTCAACTAAAGAAAATTGAAGAAAAACTATAATTTATGACCAATTTGAACTTAATTTAATATTTACTATGTTTTAGAAGTTGATAAAATTATTTCTTCAATCCAAAACCTATTTAAAAACTCTGGAAATAAACACTTTCGGACATGAGGGAACTAAAATTCCAATTTGTTTATTCAAAAATTCCTCTCCCTTTTGATAATATTCCTTCACCGAAGAAAAACATTCCAGAAACTATAAATTCTTTTGGGAGAAACACATATCTCTAAAGACCCAAGAAATATGGCCTTGTATATTTCGGGAAACTAACAAATGGTTCAAAAAGCTTTCCAAAAAATATATTTTTATACCAAAAATAGCAGCAAAAATGTAAAATGGGAACACTTGAATTTATATCAGATGTTAAATTTTGTGATCTCTCTCAGTGACCTTTGAAATTTGTGTAAAAGCCAGAGTCAGTCAGTCACTTTATTTCTAAACGGTTGAAAGAGCATCTACAACAAATACTTGCAACAAAAATAAATATAATATTAAAGAAAATTAAGGCAATGGAGTTTGAAATGAAAACCGAGGAAGAACTCGAGGACTATGTCAGAAGCTTTGTTATCCAGGCCCCCATTTCGGATACGCAAAAGATTGAGTAAATTAAACTGGTTTCCAGCAATTGCCAATCCGTCTCCGAATGTCAAGACCAAATTGGAATCGGATTCGGATTTGCAATGTGGTCAATAGCCTGGCCAAAACAAGAAAGTTGCCAAGGGGCTTTTCCATCAATTGTTTTTTTTGTTATTTGTGTTGTGTGTTGTTTGCTTGCTGAAAAGCCAATTGGCAAATGACTTAATTTAATTGACATTGAGGTGGTGCCTGCTCCTCCTCCTCCTCCTCCTCCTCCTCCTCCTCGTCGGGCTAGGTGACGCAGTTGCTCAGCTATTTAAAGGTCACATGCGGCGATGCGTGATTTTAGCTTCGAGAGGAGGAGAAATATAATAATTATAATTGTGCAGAGTTGGTAAATTGTCTCTAATTCGATTTGTATTGCCCCCTTTCCAGATCGGAGCGTTCAATAGTACGTGTCTCCATTTACGAGAGCAGCCAGCCACAGCAGCCGGACTATCTGCCGGACGACTCTTTGGCCGGAGACGGCTTTCCCTACAACACCAACGACCTCGACCTATATCCAACAATGGCAGCGACGGCAGCGACGGGGATGATGCAACAGCAGACACTGGGACTGGGAGCGGCCTACGATCGCCAGCAGAGGTTAGTTCTGGGATTTAAAATATATATTATCACAAATTTAAAATCCCTTTTTTCGCATTGCGTAGCACTGATTCCGGCTGGGATAATCCCTTTCGTCCTGGCGGCGATCTCTCCCGGGAGGCTGACGAGATTGTCAGTATGATCAGAGGTGAGTTTTTCTCTCAATTTTGAGTTTGCAACAACAAATCATAAATGTTGCAAGATCATAACTGAGAATTATTATAAATAATTAAATAATAGGTTACAAATTATAAAAGTAAAGGCACTTAGTGAAGGTTTTCAGTCCTTTTTAGAATTCTTTAACTTACTTTAAGCATTAATCATTGCTAGTTTAATGCATAACTTTGTAAATCTTATGGGGCTTGATAACTTTCATTGCCTTAAAATTAAGTAATATTACTGCAAATAGCATTTTATACTTTGCCTCTTATCAGTTGATGCAATTAAGCTTTGCAATATTTCCAGCAAGACTACTAGGTATATTCCCCCCATGCAATATAAACAATAACTTTTTTTTATAGAAAAGTATTGACATGTGATAAAATTGTGGTCATTTATGACAGGAATAAGGCATTATTTCATTGATTGTGGGAACTATTTGTGGTCTGTTGATGAGAATACACATAAAGATGTATATATTTACCAACTTAAGATCAGGGAAATGTATGAGAATGTGGTAAAATATTCGTAACAATGGTTAAGAGATATTAAATAGTAATATATTACCAAGTAAATGTAATTTTATTAGATATTAATTGTATAAAGAAAATACTGTAAGCTATTAAATAGCTTTTTTTGGAGTTGAAATATAACTAAGAAGTCGTATGAAATGAATTTGAAATAATTATATTTATATTATTATATATATATTATTATATTTATAGTATTATATATATATTATTATATTTATAGTATTATTATTATTATATATATATTATATTTATAGTTTTATTATTATTATATTATATTATATTATTAAACTATTATCAAGCAATTAGTTTTTTTTATAGATCATAAAATATTCTATATAATATATACTTATAAAAATCTTGCACATATATCGTATTATTTTTTATATTTATTATATATAGCATTTATTATATTATAATATATTATATTATATTATATTATATTATATTATATTATATTATATTATATTATATTATATTATATTATATCATATTATATTATATTATATTATATTATATTATATTATATTATATTATATTATATTATATTATATTATATTATATTATATTATATTATATTATATTATATTATATTATATTATATTATATTATATTATATTATATTATATTATATTATATTATATTATATTATATTATATTATATTATATTATATTATATTATATTATATTATATTATATTATATTATATTATATTATATGTTATTATAATAACATTGATGAATTTACATTTTTAAACTATTATCAAGCAATTAAATTTTATTATGAAGTTTAACCGTATTAGATCATAATTTTAATAGTTAAAACTGTAACCTATTTATAACTCTTTTACAAGATAAATATATATGATAGAACCCAGCGTAGGAGCTACTTTTGCAGGCAATTATTGTCGCTGAATCTTATCCATCTTATCAACTTCTATCATCTTATCCTTTAATTAATATCTTATATTAAATTCTATTATTTGTAAAGGTGGCCAACCCATCACACCCACGGAGGATCGTACCATCGGCAATGGCAGCACAGCACAGCATCCGGATGACAATTGCAATGGTGGAGGAGGAGTGGCGATCGGGGAGAGCGTGACCAAAACCAATGTGAGCTACGCTTAAGCCTTTAAACCATTATATTTACTAATTAATTGATTATTACAGCTCTCGCAGAATCTAGCAACAGCACAAAATGGTACAAATTCCCATGCCTCTGCCGACGCTGGCGCCGGAAAAGCGGGCAAGGCGAGCGATCAGCTGACCAGCGGCGGCGGCGGGGGCGGAGGCGGAGGCGGTGGCAACAACAACGGTGTCACCTCACTGGGACAGGTGTCCAAACAGGTGGTGCCGGGACCCATCTCCGCTAGTCATGTGGTCATCGATGAGAAGAAGGGCAAGAAGAAGGGCTGCTGTGTCCTTCAATAATTCAAGTTCTTGGCGCAAGGACAAGGACAATGGATGGGGAGGGAAAACAAACGAAATGTGGGGGGAAATTATTTTTTTTTTTCCGGCTGTTCCGTATTTCGTTTCGTTTCGTTTTATATTTTATTGTTTATTATCATTATTTTTTTTTTGTTCCTTTTTGTGTTTTGTGGAAAAACGAAATCGAAATATGGAGCCGAGAAGCTGTTGATATTTTTCAAGCCGCATAAATCGCTTTTGCTTTTTGCTTTTTGCAAAAACGAAAAACACCAAAAAATGAAAAAATGAACAAAAAAAACAAAACCTAACGAAAAGAAAACCGCGGGAAAACCAAGCAACCAAGCTCTCTGAGGAAAATGAAAAGCAGCAAAGCGAGAGGAGTGAAGAAAGAGAGCCAAAACCGAAGCAGAACCACAAGAAACAAGAGAGAGCGAGAGAGAGAGAGAGAGAAAGAGAAAATCCAAAATTTGAATTGTAAATTAAAAGTACACACACTTTTTACATACGGCGATTGTTTTATATATATACAAATATATATATATAATAAGCTTATTACTATTAATTTTGTAGTCTCCTCTCCCCTGTTTCTTATATACTTTTTTTTCTCGACCTAAAAATACATATAAAACAATTTTTTGTAATTATATATAAATATATATATAAAATTTAGTGCGGCTTCAGAGATAAAGAAAAAAACGACGACACTGGACAACAAACAAAAAAGGAAATTTGAACATAAAGAATAATGTATTTATTTTTATTTATATGACGATGATGATGATGAAGATGAAGATGAAAGTAAATTAAATGTTAAACCTTAAACAAAATATACACACACACACACGTACACGTACATATACAAAAAAAACACACGCATACGCATATATACTATATATTATTATATATGATCAAAATGGAATGAATGTTTGAGGCAATAATAAAGGAAAAATTCAAAAAAGGTAATAAAAAAAAACACTCAACAACCCAACATTTTTCTAAGGCTAAATAAAATAATAAACAATTATTTTGATCATTATATACATGAGTAAAACAAAGAAAAAGAAGGAGAAATAAAAAATAGTAGCATGGATTGATCAAAGACAACTTACAGTTAAAAAGGACGAAGAAGCGGTGCTGAAAAACATGGCAAAGGACAGCAGTAATAAACGCAAAATAGAGGCCAGGAAATATATAGAAATATATATATATATATAGAGATATATATACAATGAGAGGGAAGAACCACCGTTTATTATTATTTATTTTTTCTTTTTTTTGCTTAGTTAAGCACCAACTCTTGCACCCTCAGTATTTTCCTAATTTTCTTACAATGTTTATCTCCGGAAAAAGGGAAAAGCAAATCAAAAATGCAGTTCAGAAACGTTAAGCAAAATAGTTAATGAAGCAGGTAAATCGAGCAAAGTGAGGTACAACAAAGCAACCAAAAATAGTAAACAAAAGCATGGAAACTCAACCAGTAAGAAAAGTGAACACCGAAATGGACCGCCACACACACACCACAAAACACACACTCTCTCTACACACACACACCACAAAACACACACTCTCTCTACACACACACACCTACTACAGCCTAAGCATCAATGTGCTGCATTTGATAAGCCTAAAAAAAAGTAAATAAAATATATATATATATATATACATACACTCACACACAGATATATATAGCAATATTGTTTCAACCAAAACTAAGGTCAAATTCCAAGATCCGCTAAAATACAATAAAATAAAACAAAAAAAAAACCAAGAGAAATACCAATCAGTAAGCGAAAAAACGAGGAGCAGCAATAAAATCAATATTTAATATTGTAAATTTCCGATTCCAAAAAATGAAAAGCAAAAACTATTAAACAAAACAAAAACCAACAAAATGTTAAGTTATTGTATAAAAAAAATCCTAAATAAAAAATGAAAACAACCAAAAAAAACTAAAGCAAAACATAAGAAATTTTCGTTTTATTCCTATTATTTATAGCATAACTTTTAGGGTTCAGAAAAGTATCGTTGTTAAATATTTATAATCTATAGTTGGCTTTTAGGCTGCCCTGTATATATATATACATATATGTAAATATATATCTTGTGGGTTAGCCAAAGTAGGAAAAAAATATATACTAAAGATTGATGAATGCTTTTAGTCCATCGATTCACTGATAATTGATTGCAATTGTTTATGGCAAACAAATCGCTTAATGCTTCCGCATCGCGAAGCCAAATCAAGTATTATTTCCCAATCGGAGAAACCTAACGAGTTGGAGAACCTTTCACCTCAAACTCATCCATCGTTCGATTCCGATCCGATCGATTCCAATTAGGCAAAACCAATAATCTCTGTGAAAATCGAAGTCGTTCGTTTGCTAGCTAATTAATCCCATGACGCAACTGCATAATAATAATATTTTAAATAAACAATTTGCAGCTACGTATAAACTCTATAATTTCCGGAAATCAAGGACAAAAGTGTTCCAATAAGGTAAAAGGTTTGGGGATGTTCTCTTAACTTACATACTTGTTAATCTTTTTATTTAATATTTATATATTTAATATACTATAAATTACTTATTGTGAGTTTCGGAAATCATCTTGCTGGCCTTGATATGTGCATTATACATATTATAGATATATAGATTTTAAATTAATATTATTGTATGATAATTTTTGGGCAAATCAAGAGTTCTTTCAGGAGTTTTAAGAGTTTTTTCAAATTTCATAACTCAGCCAAAAATTCATCAATTTCAATTCAAAAAGCTGTTCTGTTCGTGTTTTTATAAGGTTTACAAATCTGCAAACTTAGTTTTTAAATTTACCTAATTACAATTTTTGTCAAATTTTCTAGTTTTGACAAGACAAATTTAGTCATAAAATTTTGACAAAAAATTTCGAAAAAATTGTTTCTCACCAGACTTGGCTAGATTGATTCGGCTTTTAATGCTGATTAAGAATATATATGATTTATAGGCTCGGAAATGCCTCATTCAGGAGTTACAAGCTTCTGACTGAAATTAATATACTATTCCTTGTCCCGAAATTTAAGGATAATTTAAGATGACAATTTATCTTAAATCAAAGTTTAAAAAATTCATAACAAAGCCAAAAATGCATTAATTTCAATTCGAAAAACTGTTCTGTGCAAGTTTTTATAACGTTAAACTGTCTGCATATTTAATTTTACAATTTACGCAATTTAAAATTTGGTCAAATTTTACATTCTTAACTATATCAAATTTAATGATAAAATTTGGGGGAAAAAAATAAAAAAAATAGTTTTGCTCCAGACATGGCTAGATCGATTCGCCTTTTAATGCTGATCAAGAATATATATGATTTATAGGGTCGGAAATGCCTCATTCAGGAGTTACAAGCTTCTGACTGAAATTAATATACTATTTCTTGTCCCGAAATTAAACAATAATTTAAGATGACAATTTATGATAAATCAAAGTTAAAAAAATTCATAACTATGCCAAAAATGCATTAATTTCCATTCGGAAAGCTGTTTTGTGCTAGTTTTTATAACGTTAAACTGTCTGCATATTTAATTTTACAATTTACGTTATTTAAAATTTTGTCAAATTTTACATTCTTAACTTATCAAATTTAATGATAAAAATTTGAAAAAAAAAAATCGAAAAATCGTTTTCCTCCAGACATGGCTAGATCGATTCGGCTTTTTATACTGATCATGAATATATATGATTTATAGGGTCGGAAATGACTCCTTGACTTAATTTTAAGCTTCTGACTGAAATTAGAATACCATTTTTGAGCCATATTTATCTTTATTTTTATATGAAAATTTCTACTACAAATCAAAGCTTAAAAATGTTGTAACTTAGCAAAAAATGCATTAATTTCCATTTGGAAAGCTTTCCTATGTTAGTTTTTTATAGATTGATAAGTCTGCATACTCAATTTGAAATTTTAACAAAGTCGAATTTTTTCATATATTTTGTTGTTCATTTTAATGATTTAATCCCTTAAATTTTTGTAAAAAAGTTAAAAAAATTATTTTGTTGCTTAAAATGACTAAATCGATTCAGTTTTTGATGCTGAACAAGAATATATATGATTTATGGGGTCGGAAATGATTCCTTCACTGTGTTGCAATGCTTATGACTGAAAATATTCCTATTCCTAAAAATTGATTTAATAAAATGAAGCTTGCATTCAAAGTAATATAGAAAAATATGATTTATGATTATAAATTATGATTTAATAACCATATGAATCACGACTGATAAACAAAATAACAGCAGGGAAATAATGTCTTTAGCTAATCCCTAAAAATAATAAAATATGTTTTTTTTTGGATAATCCCCACCAGTTAGGGTCAACGATTTCCCAAAATCAACTTAAAAATTCTCCCACGTCACGCTGTTTTTTAAAGTTTTGGAAAACCAGAATTTGTTGTGCGTTCTGTTTCTATATTTCTCATGCGGTTTCTTTTCCTAATTTGAATTCTATTTGGATTTGCTTTAATTTATGAACTCGACTCGGAAAGACATTTATAGCAATTTATCTGGATTTGGTTTATGGCTCTCGGTCATTCCGATTTCAATTCCAATTCACATTCGGATTCCGTTCGAAGATTAATTGGCAGCCGCAAAGCTGTCAATTTTTAAATTGTTGCGCCTAAGTAAGCGGAAATATCGCTGTGCCTCGATCACGATCATCGAAATGGAGCCAAGACTTAGGGGACTTGGATTCGGATTCGGATTCGGATTCGGATTGGTGATGGTGGTGATGCTGCCAGGGCACCCACTCAGAAAAAATGGAGAAGGGGAACTGGATTTTTGGTCATCTATCTAATGAAAGTCAGTCTGTCGTTAATGGTCAAACGTGTTTGCTTCTCTATGGGCTTTATGGCCTGACATCCACACAGTGGGGCAGAAAAGTCTTTACATATTTTTAAAATTTATACATTTTCTTGAAAACGATTAAAAAAATTCTCCTAACTATATGTGATAGTGAAGATTTTCCATATATATATCCTTGAAACTATACTTAAATTGCTCTTAATTTAAGTTTTAAACTTTGCCAAAGAGTTAATATAAAATTAACTCTATTCTTTATTAAATTAAATTTATTTCAATAGAAGTTTATACTTTTCAATGCGACTGTCTGAAAAGTAATTTCAAAATCAATTTTTATGACTAAAACGTATTATATTTTTATATAAAAAGCTGACCTATATATAATGTAACTGTAAACTCGGTTTTGTTTTTTTTTTTCAATCTACAAAAAAGGGTTTCAAGAATGAAATTGATTCTAATACCGCAGAGAAACTCAATTCCGACAGATAAAATGCAAAATTCTCTCTAAGAACTTCTAAAATAACTTTCCATTAGTTAGTCAAGTTAGTGCTTTGCTTGTACATTGCATGCCAAATGTGGAAATGTTAAATCGGTTTAGTTTTTTTAAATCTAAAATTTAAGAAATAAAATGCGAATTGTCTCTAAGAACTTCTAAAAGAACTTTCTGTGAGTTACGTTACTGCTTTGCTTGTACATTGCATGCCAAATGTGGAAATGTTAAATAGATTTTGTTTTTTTAAATCTAAAATTTAATCCAAGAAATAAAATGCGAATGGTCTCTAAGAACTCCTAAAATAGCTTTCTGTTAGTCAAGTTGCTGCTTTGCTTGTACATTGCATGCCAAATGTGGAAGTAAGAGAAAGATATTGGAAATGAAAATGAATGCTGCTTTAAACGTTATCCTTCGATACTAATTATTGAAACAAGCAATTACTATTCAATAATCATTATAGTTAATGTATATTTTCAAATTTTATGCCATACAATACGAAGGCCATGCAGGGGGACACGGAGAAACGGGTTATCCCTTATCCGGTCAATCGTCGTCGCCACCACCGCAGCATCCGCCTTCATCGTTGCCACAACATGGACTGCAGGCAAGGCAGCCGAGACAGGGACTCAATGCCAGGCCACAGCAGCCACAGCACAGGCACAACAGTGGGAGGCAGATGATGAGGAGGCAGCACAGCACCACCACGGCCACAATCACGAGAATCAAGGACATTCCACCGCCGCGTTTTTTCTTCTTCTTCTTCGTGGTTTGTATCAAGGAAGGAGTAGTCAATCCATGTACTTGCGTATTCACCAAATCCGCTTAAAACAGGACATTTTTATAAAATAAAATGGTAATAATATTACTACTACTACTTATTAACTACAAGCAATGAGATGGAAACTACTTTGAACATTCTCTAGATGATACAGCTTGAAAATAAAGAGATTTGTTTGTGTAAACTTGTGAAACTTGCTGAAAATATTCAAAAATCCACCGAAAGCACATAATAAATATATCGAAATAAGTAATGAATTTAAAGAAAGTCTTTATCAATAAATTTAACACAAATAAAAACTACAAAACGGATTTTATCACAAATCTGATAGAGTAAGGAAGTTTTTATTTACTTTCATTATTAAATATTAAGAAAGATTTATACTTTTCGGCAGAACTGTGGACCCATAACGTTTTCCTCCCGTAACCCCCCCCACACACAAAAAGCGGCTAATTTGCGAGTGCGATTCTCGTGCAGGTGCAAATTATGATGGGATCCACAAAAGCACAAAGGAAAAAAAAAACGGAATCAATAAAAGCAATAGCAACAAAGCCAATAATAATTTATGGCCAAAAATCGGGGAATAAGCTAAATAAGCAAAAGAAGAAGGTGGGAGTGGAGGAAAGAGAATATGGAGAATAAGGTGCTGTTACTGAGGGGACCCAATTTAATGCGACATGTGTAAGGGTGAGGGAGATAAGAAGATCGAAATCGGTTAGTTAAGGCAGCAACAAATATTAAAAAAAACAGCAGCAGCACAGAAACAACAATCGAAAAAAGCTGCGCATGCGCAGCACGCGTCTTCACACACACACACACACACACACGCACACATGTGTAATATTGGCGCATGTATGTCTAACTGTACCCCACACGGCGCTCGCCATGACATGACAAATGCGCACGCGCTCCCGCTCTCACGCCTCGCGTTCCCCCTCTCTTGCTGCGAGAGAGGGAGAGAGATAAGACAGTGAGATGAGAAAGCAAGCTCTCTTTCTAGCTATTTTCGAGCTATAACTGGTCGCTATTTTAATATATATATATTTTTTGGATAAATGATATGGGGTTAGTAAATACGTAATTAGTATAACTTTTTCAATTAAAAAAAAACATGTAAATAATAAAACAAAACAAAGACAAAAAGGAAGAGCTAATAAGCATTACATTGAAAGATAAATATTCTTAATTTAATAATAAAAATAGAAAGCTAGTGTAAGATTTGTGTATGATAGTTAGTAAATACGTAATTAGTATAACTTTTTCAATTAAAAAAAAACATGTAAATAATAAAACAAAACAATGACAAAAGGAAGAGTTAATAAGCATAACGTTTAAAGATAAATATTCTTAATTTAATAATAAAAATCTAAAGCTAGTGTAAGATTTTTGTATGATAGTTAGTAAATACGTAATTAGTATAACTTTTTCAATAAAAAAAAACATGTAAATAATAAAACATAAAGACAAAAGGAAAAGCTAAAAAGCATTACATTGAAAGATAAATATTCTTAATTTAATAATACAAATCGAGAGCTAGTTTAAGATTTTTTTTATGTATTATTCGTATCAATAGAATTTATCTTGAATAAACTGTTTGCAAGATAAATTAAATTGTTACGAATAAGATGAAAAATGCTTTTTTCAAAAACAAATCGATAATAATTTTTCCCTGACGATTTTCCTGGCCCAAACTGCAATTTGCAATTATTAGAGTAGTAAAAGCTATAAAAAATACACACTTTTAGCTAGCAAAAAAAAAAAAACTCCAAAAAAGATGACAACACTGTCGTCGCCGTGTGGCATTGTGTGTGTGTGCGTGTGTGTTTATTTTTGGTGGAGTCGCGCTGTCTGCGCTGTAAGCACTGGGAAGTGGAGCAAGTGTCTTCGCCGCGTGGCGATTTTCTCACTCCGCCACGGGGGGTGTTCAATGGGATTGGGATTATTCAGATCAGAAACGATCCGTATATATAGATATATAGACTCGTTGAATTTGTATTCTTTTTCGTGTGATTTATGCGCCACGGCGGCATGAGTGATTGATTCATCTTTCAACTTAATTGAAAGACCGGGCAGTTGGTTTGTTGGATCATTAAGCAATTTAAGAACTTGTTGATTTAGAGATTGAGGGGCGATAAATGATTGATTGGAAAGATAAATAATGCTGGACGGGATGCATTTCGAAGCCGGATGAAGGAGGAGAGACTCGAAATGATTTTATGCCCATGTTAATCTTAATAATAAAGTTGTTTTTAATTTCTTTATCTCTGTGGTATCTCTTTAATTTCGATGTTTTTTCTTGTGAGCTTATTAATATTATTTCTGGGGTTTTCCAAAAGCAAACTCCAGAGATTTATAGTTTTGTTTCTCTAATAAAACGAGAAATGGGAGTCTTTTTCTTTAAGGGAATGAATGGTAGTATTTATTTTAAGTCTTTTAGATAATAAAATATATATCCATAGCTCAAAAACTGTATTCAAAGTAATAAATCAGACGAAATTAATACCAAGTGACCCCCTGACACGATGATTGACACAGTTCCCCATCAATTGTTGCCCTTGGCACAGGTTTAGAGTGGACCCAAAAACGGTTTTCCAAATTATAATTTGTATATTTTACGTGTATATAGTTTCTTCCATGCTTTGTGCTATTTTTAGGCTTTGTGCGCACAAAATGCTAACAAGCATAAAAAGTTGAAAAATCATCTTATGAAACCCGTTTCGTTTTTTTTTTTTGTATTTTTTGGTGGGGGATCTGACCGGATCTGAGCTTAAGCGGAAAACTCAGATAAGTTATTAAATAAACAAGTCGTAAAGTCGAACTGCGATTACGAACTATTAATTGGATGGGACGAATTCGTATTCGTATACGAATTTCGACTTAAGAGACCAAAGCCAAGTCGAAGTTCTTCTTAGGATTCTGGGACCGAAGATTTATAATCCCTATAAAAACGTTAATGGAATTAGTGAGGCAGAGTTAATTGAATGGCGGCCTTAAATGGTGACAGCTTCACTTTTATGCTTCGATTTCTGGGGTGGTGTCACGCCTCGAAAGCGTTGTCTAGCCTTGATCTAGAATAACACCGAACCAATACAGTGTGTATCAAAAGCATAAAATAATGGATTCTTTCATTTACACCGAGATTATTCTATTAGTTCTTATAAATTATATTGATCTCATTTATATTAAAATAAATGTATTTACAAGCAGTTAATATAAAAATATATAAATTCTATGATAAATACTTAAAAATTTGTATTTATTTCAAATTTTAAATATTCTATTTAACAAACCCTACCTAAAAACCATAAAATGTTAACATGTTTTAATTATTGTATTTATTTTAAAGGTTTTTTTTGTTGCCAAGGCATTATTTAAATATCAGACAATAAACCGATTGTCGCATCAAAAAAGCGACAGACGTAATAAAATAATACAATGAAAGCCTAAAGAGCTTTTCGATTTAATATCACATTTAATTATATTTATCAAAATACTCTTCTGTATTAAGTGGCTAAAGAACACGTTTGGGGAACATATTAGCTCGATTTAAATTTATATTTATTCAATTTGAATCTAAATCGAGGTATACTCTCTTGCTATAATTATTAATTACAACCAGTTCTAATTAATAATTGAAATAAATTAATAAATTTCGAACTGAAGGCGGCCCCTTTACTTTCATCGCAATCTATGGCACTTTTACGCAACGAAACGCACTGTATTAAGGAATCAGAGAGATGTTCGGACAAAATAAATAAATAAAACTGGTCTTAATTATACAAAATTCGGCAGAAACTAAAAAAAATACAAAAAAAATAAAAAGACAGAGGAGACGGACACAGAGACAGATAACTTTACGTTTTGGGGTAAAAGCAAAACGTGTTTAGCTTTCTATTTAAACTATGCAAATTCGCATTGATTATTTATTTCTGTGGCTCTGTGGCAACAAAAAATGAAAATAAAATAAAAACTAAGACCCTCTAGATAGAAGAGGTGAAAAATAAGTAAAAAAAAAATAAAAATCAAATCGGTAGAAAACAGCCATAAAAAGGAGCGTTCGATCGCTCAGGTGGAATATGCATAACCGGTCAAAGAACCGACAGAATCAAGAACCTGATCCCAACTCGATTTAGTTGGTTTCGCATTTGATTTTGGTTTTGGTTTCGGTTTTTGGGTTCTGGACTCGCGAATCGAGTATTTCCTTAAGTTGCCCATAAAATATGATTTAGCCACATATTATTTATGGCCCGCAACCAGATCTTCTGATTCAGAACGTGCAGCCATAACCGATTTTTAATATTCCATTCAGATTCAATCACGCCCTGGGACATGCTCCACTAATGACAGCCCCCGCGCTCTTTTCTTTTTCTTTTTTTTGTTGTATTTTGCCAAATAATAAAATCAAATTAGGGGCGTTGTCATCCATCGCCGCGCCACCTACAAGAATTAATATGCATAATTCCAGGGGGTTGGCTGTTGTCAGTGTTGAATAATAATAATAATAGTCTGGCTTAAGCTATAAATATATAGTATAGACGATATAGCACATGCCCCGATGCAAATGAGTTGGATTAACGGACGGAATTGGATCTCCGAACCAGTTCCTTAAGGAGACCACATAGTAGTGGATCGGTGGTGATGGCCAGATTTATGGTATACCCCAATCCTTATGAGGGGTTCTTAACACGGCACCGGATCTGCATATCAATAGATTAATAGATATGCACACTGATAGATAGCTGCTTAATATGATCCATAAATTGCACATACTATAGAATTTTATATGCATGGGAATAAATAAACTAATAAACCATCTAAGGTTATGAATTGAAATCAGGAAAGTTGCTGGAAATAAATACGATATGATTTGTATTTAAGAATGAGTGTTACTCATTTTGAAATAGAAAATATTCAACGATAGGATAAAGGAGTTAGCCGAAACCATTTGCGCCCGAACAGGGATTATAAGAGAAGGTCCTTTTATCATATAAAAGAATAGCATTGTTATGAATTAAAATCAGGGAAGTTGGAGGAAATAAATACAGTATGATTTGTATTTAAGAATGAATGTTTCTCTCATTTAAAATAAGTAAAAAATAGAAAATATTCAACGATAGGATAAAGGAGCTAGCCGAAACCATTTGCGCCCGAACAGGGACTTAAGGAGAAGGTCCTTTAACAGTATAAAAGGATTGCCTAGGAAAAATAATATATAATCGCGAAAGATGAAATGTATTTAATTTGAACTGAATTTATATCCAACTTAAACATTAAAATGATATCAGTTTTATAAATTTCGGACTATATTTTTATATATTCAGCGTATCATTATCTGCTTGAATAGAACTTATAACTAAAGCCATTTTATTTATCAATGAAATATTTAGCTAGAAGTATCAAATAGATTCAATCTTAGTCCAATCTAATCAGGAAGATATACTAGAATATAGATTCGATTTTCTTGGATATTTTACCCAAGGACAGAGCCTAATTTTTGGGATTTACTGAATGGATTTTTTTCGTTTGTATTTTTCCCATGCCTTCAGGTAGCTTCAGGAAGTCTGCCATGACGATGAACCCCCGCTGTCTCATCTTTAATCAAAGTCCCATTTAATGACTGTTCGTCATGCCGGTCAAATTTAGGGCCTGATTTCAGTATCTGTTTTTGTATGGTTTTACATATTTTTCCCCCCTATATATTATATATTTTTTTACATCATCATCATCATCATCATCGCAGAACTCTCAAGGGCAAGAAGAAAAGAAGGAGAGAACCGAATTGATTCGGTTCGAATCGAATAGAAGCGAATGGAACAGAACTAAATGTTTTGGTTTCTTGGAAATCTCGTTTCTGTCTCCTTATAATTGCTAATTTATTTATTTATTTTATACTCTTTTTATATCTGTCCCCAGCTCTTTCTTTATTGTTTTGCCTAAGCGATACGCGAGGGAAAAATAAACAGAGAAACGCTTGGAATAATCCACCAATGAGAGGTTCTTAAATACTCTATTAAGATGGAGATTATGGTGTTTACTTTGAAATTATAATTATGTTATTTCTAACAATTTTATTTAATAGAAAACTAATGAAAATCTCTTTATATAAATGAAATACATTTATTTAATAAAGGTAAACTATTTTAATGCACTTAAAATGTATTTTTATCATAAGTTACGTGTAAATACTCTTTAAAAATACATTTTACTGATAGAAAATATTGTTTAAATACAGTTTTTGTGATACATTTTAAATATAGTTCAGCAGAAACCTCCTGATAGTGATAACACCCCATTGAAAATAAAACAAAACTCAAAGATTCGGCAAAATTCAAAGCGAGGGAACGTTTGGGGGCTCTGGCTGCGTAACAAGTTGTTCAAATCTGTTAATTTGGCAAAGAAACCACATCGACAGCGCAATAAAATTCAAAGAAAACAAAAAACAAAAAACAACACACTGCCAAATGAAACACTTTCTTTTCGCTATGCAAATGGCGAATGTAAAGCAAAACAATAAACACTAAATGAATGGTAATTAATGCAGGCAGCTGCAGGCTTTTACCTGGAATTAAAGCTAACCAAGGCGATGACAATTAATGGGGTGACGAGATGAGTCAGTTGTTGATGGGATCTAATCTCGTATCCAAGAGCCGTTTGCCACTCCCTCGAACACGTTTGGCTCTAAGTGAGACATCAAGAGATCGAAGACAAAAAACACAAGAGGCTCTTAGAGGCGTGTGCAAGTATGCATAGCAAATGCGATATTGAAGACGAAACGCTTATTTCCCAAGGTAGCCTTACCATCATCTGGTACCATCTCGTCTCTGACAAGCCGCTGAAATGGCCAAAAACGGTTTCATTAAAGAACCAGAAGAGTCCGAGAGTCGTCCGAATGCGAAACGATGAAAAATGAATGCCGTGCGGCATTCGTTTAAGTTATTAAGCATAAAACTTAAATTAGAGGCACCATTAGCGATTATCATTAGAGCTGCGTGTCCGGTCCGGTTTCAATTCCCCCAAAATCTTATCTCCTCGATTTATTTCTATCAATATTTTGTTTTCTCTTTTCGATGGGAAAAAGCAACATTTACCCATAAACGAACTGGAAATCTTGGGGATTTTATCACTGAGAGTTCTAGGAATCTTCGTAAATAAACAAATAATAGATCGATTTCCTTTTAAAAGTATGGGACTCAAGTAAATATTGTGACAGAAGTTCACTAAAACGATTTAAGCGTTTGAAATTCTTGGTTATTAAACACTTTAATGGTCCAAGTTAAATTTTATTAGAAAAATGATTAAAAAGTAAACTGTGAATGGGATAAAGGAGTTTTCCTTCCTTTCTTCTGTCTTAATTCTAAAAATAAGTTCATTAATTGATTAATTTGATTGCAATTTAATCATTAAACTCTTTAATGGCCTTAGTTAATTAATTAATTACTAGAATATGAATAAATATCATTAGGAAAATGAGAAAGGAAGGCTGGCTTTAAAAGCCACATAAACATTTATGGCCATTTATTGTGGGTCATTTAAAGTTTAAGCCGATTTGAACAAGGCTGTCCCCCCTCTCGGAAGAATGAATTATCGAAAAAGAAACACAACTTGAAAATAAATCATTGGTAAATAGAGTCATTAGTGTGGGGTTACCCATAAAGTATATGCAAATTGAGGGAAACGATGAAAAGCTACCGAAAATGACCCTGCTAAATGGTATTTCTTATTCTATTTATATTTCTCATATATAAATGTGTATAGATATTTATGTTAAGCCTCTCAAGATTCCGACAGACACTGATCCGCCAGAATAACTGGCGGCATTTTGATAAATTTGATAAGCCCGAAATCGAATCGAAACGGAACGGAATGGAGCGGAGCGGAAAGACTAATTAAGCGAAGGCTGAACGAGACCTGAGATGCATTAACATATCAACGTATAGAGAATACTATATCTTATCAGAAGATTCACAGTCTGCAGACCGAAGAATCATTCAGGTCTTTGGATCCATGGATCATGGATCTTAAGATTGGGTCTTGGATATTGGTCTCAAGTTAAGAGTCTCTGTTCGCTGCTCTCAAACTGGTCGCCCCGTAAAAATATATTGTCGTTAATCGTGTATCGACGCATATTTTATCGGTAGTATATATATTTTATATACTTGTCTCTATATATATTTTGTATATTCCATGCTTTATAAAAAATTAACGCAGATTTAAATTTACGCACATGCACACACACACATACACACATGATCGAAGACTGAACAAAAATTGATCATTAAACGTGTATGCTAATTTGATGATGGCGGTTTTCTAATTTTGTTGCCCAGAAACCAGATTTCTATGCTGCGATCAGTCTCCGTCAGCAACGAAAGGTGATTCTTCCCCCTCTCCTAGAAGCGCGGAGTCAATAGAATCTTCTGGCCAGAAGAATTGGCCCTAAAATTGTTACATCTTCCTCGCAGATTGATGTTGCCCCTACTAAAAGTCCCCACCTTCCCCCTCCTTGAAATGTTGACAAACTTTGGCTTTTTTCGGGGGGTTCTAAGTGGCCAAGAAGCGATGCACAGTGGTGCGAAATCAATTTGCAATTGGATAAGATTTTTGAACAATATTTATATATATATATTGTTATGATATTTGCAGACTCAATTCATTAATATTATTAATATATATAAAAAGAAAACTGATAGGTTATATCATTTAAAAAATATTTTGTAAAACTATTCCCTTCTTCTCTTAATTTTCCATTAAGTGATGCAAAATCACATCGCATTTGGATAAGATTTCTCAACAATATTTATATATATATATTGTTATGATATTTAGAAATTCAATTCATTAATTGCATATTAAAAGAAACGTGATAGATTAAAGGTTATATCATTTAAAAAATATTTTGTAAAACACAAAAGGATACAAACTAAATAAGCTGAAGGGCTTAAGTCCTTTAATTGAAGTAAATGCAGATTGAATTTTGATTTAAAAAATGTAAAAGAATGAAATTGTAGATTTATAATAAGTATATACTACTTATAATATTGATTCTCTTGATATTCCATTAAGTGGTGCGAAATTACATTCAAATTGGATAAGATTTTTCAACAATATATATATATTGTTATGATATTTAGAAATTCAATTCATTAATATTATTAATATATATTAAAAGAATGTTGTTTTTAATCTAAACACAAAAAGATGCAAACTAAATAAGCTAAAAGGCTTAAATCTTCTAATTCAATTAAGTCCTTGTAAAAATTTGATTTAAAAAATGCACAAATAATGAAAAAGTAAGCTTAAACTTTCTATAATATTGATTCTCTTCATTTCCCATTAAGTTGTGCAAATATTTGTACTCTTAACTGTATTAAAAGAATCAATATATGATATTACAATGGATATTAATCAAAAATTAACTGTGTATATATAAAACTACATGTAATACTTTAACAATACCTAAAAATGTATATACTTTCAAAACCTTTTCCAGTCTTATTTTCAAAGACGTACTTTTCTTACCTCTAGGCATGATGTCAAAGGTCCCCTCGGATCGCTGTGTGGTGCCCGATTCCTCTGCCACTATTTTTTTATCTTTGATAGTATTTATGAAAAGGGAACTAATTAGTTTTTGAAGTGCTTAAGAATTGTGTGCGACGTTTGGAACCTTTCTCGGTGAGGCCACTGTGCGGAGACTTCGACGCAGACTCCTCTCCGGTTCGTTGTCCGGTTTCCAGCTCAGCTTTTGCCTCTGCCTCCGTCGCTGTCTCTGCCGACGGCACTGGCTGCGTCGCCGCTAGCGTCGCAGCCAAGATGATATATAAGGAAACAAGAAGTCGCATCGTTTGTATTTATTTGCTAGAATCTGTGAGCATCGGAACTGACCGCCACCACCACACCTCCGACTTAGAAAAACCATAAATAGTCCTCGTACCGAATTTCGTTTTCGCCACACACAAAATGAAGAGTTTTGTAAGTGCCAAAGAAAAAAAAAAAAACAAACAATATAACGAAAATTTACTAGACTAGGAAAATACACACAAAGTCTGACAATGTCTGCCAAGGAAACTATGTTTACTTTTTTTTCTGTGTGTCCAAAAAATAAGAAAATCAAAGAAAAGAACAAGGATCAAGTGAAAGTGCGGAAATTCAAGTGTGATGGAACGAAAGGATCCCCAAATAATATTCCTATCACCTTGAGAGACAGCTCATCATCTTCATGGCGAATGACAAATATCGAGACCCATTATGATTAGTGCCTCTCAAATCGAAATAAAATCGAGAAGAAAAACAAATCTCTGTTTAAACAATCGACAAAAACGCGCGAGACACAGCGACGCGACTCGCGCGCGACTTTGATTAATTGCTACGCTAATGCAAAAAATGCAAAAATGCTAAATACTTGATTAAAGAAATGACAAATTAAGTATATATATGTATATATATATACCATATATTCTGCATAAAAATAAACACTAACAAAACGGCTTCACAATGTCCTAGTTAACAGTGCAAATTAGTTAAAAGAGTGCTCCTGGGCGCTTTTTAAAGCTTTAAAAATATTATGCTACTTATCTAAAACCTCAAATATTTTCTAAATATATATTGCCTTAATATATAGTTTTTCTAATATTTTAATGGCTTATTATTAATACAATTTGCAGCTGATCCTGCTGGGTTTCGCTGCTCTGGCCGCTGCCGATGTCAAGCATCTGACTGATCGCAATCTGGATTTATTCAAGTATAATCCCAGCGATATCTATACCCTTCCCGAGGATATTGACGATGACAAGCCGGCGGTGCAGTTCAGCGGTGATGTGATGAAGGCCAAAACCGAGAAGCTCCAGAACTACAATTCCGGCAAGAAATTCAAGTTGGAGTGAGTATATAACATCAAGAATATATCCAAAAATAAATACTATAAAGATGCCTTTTGGAACTATAGAAAATTTCTGAAGATTCTACAAGATTTATGAAGTAATATAGAATTTTTTTTGGGTGCAAAGAACCTTTTGAAAGCTTAAACTAAAATTTAAAGAAGTTAAAGTCAAACTTGTATGCTTTTTTTTCCTAGGAAGTGAAGCCATTTAATAAAAACTTTAGTTGCTTAATGTCTTAATTAAGTTAAGCTACAAATATGGGTTTTACAGAAGCTAAATGTCGAATTTTTATAGATTTTCCTAAACATTTTGTTTTAAATTTGATTTTATCAAACTTTAGTTTAACTCTTATATCCTTATTTTCTACTTTGTACATATGTATTTTTATATTTATTTAAAAAATAATTTGACTTTATTAATAATTTATCCTTTTCCTTATAATCTAAAAAAAATCCTTAGACTGAAGACCCAGAATGGCATTGAGGTGAGCAGCGTGGGCAAGCTGAAGGACGACAAGACCTTCGTGGTGAGCGGTTCCTACTCCTTCACAGGAGCCGATGGCAAACGCTACAAGACCCGCTATACCGCCGATGAGTTCGGTTATCATCCCATCACCGAGCTGGATCTCGATATTCCCGAGTGAGTATATACTATATTATATTATAAAATGTATTTACACTACACAATTTTATATTATTTCCTACGTTTTGGGGTTATTTTTGTTACCCAAAGACAAAAAGTAGGGGGATTTAATTGTGAGGAAATTAGTTTTGAAAAATTGTGTAGCTTAATTATTTATTATAAAAATTAGATTATACATTTCCTTTGAGTTTTTTTGTATATATTTTTAATGGTTTTTAAATCAAGGAAACAGGAAATCTTTAAATTGTTAAATTTCTGTTGTTAAGTAACCATTATTTAAATATATTTTTCCCTCTGCCATAAAATAATACAAATAATAATAATAATAACTGGAATAATGATAAATTAAATAATACAAATATTAATAATAAATAAATATTAATAATACAAAAATAAACTAATATAAAAACATAACCCTCAAATGTATGCTATGCTTTTTGACAGCCTCTAAAAAGTTGCAAACAATTTTAAGCATATTTTAAGAATAGTTGTGATCGATTAAGGCACAAATTCAGTTGCTAGATTCATTTCTTCAGTTTTAAAAAGCTCTTAATTCGATAAAAAAAAAATTATTTATTTTTTCTGATTAATTTTGTAGATAGTTAGTTATTATTTCCCCGGCAAAATGTACTAATTATTCAACTAAATTTCCACAATTTCCAGGCCCCAGCCCCTGGCCGCCGCCGGACAGCGCCAGCCTGTGGATGCCAGCAGCCTGCTGGGCAACAAGAACCGCTTCCAGTTCCTGCAGCAGCACCTCGACGCCGACCAGGGACCGCTGCGGGGCAGTGGCCAGAGCGGCGACGACTACAGCTACACGCCCCAGCAGGGCGGCGCCAATGGTCAGCTGTTCGGCGCTCCCTACGGCGGCGTTGGCGGTGCCGCTGGCGTTGAAGCCTATGGCAATGGCTACGACTATCAGCCCCCTCAGACGCCTCTGGTGACGCCGTCGCGCCAGTATCTGCCCGTGGCATAGGGCTTTTCCCCCACGCACCCCTTAAAAAAAGTCAAAATCAGAAAATACAAAAAATATTTACCTATCCCCCCCCACCCAAACTTTCCCTTGACCTATCCCCTGACCTTTCCCCAGCTGCAAGTATTTAGTTTTTAAGTGCAAAACTCCAACAAACAACAACAACAAACAGGCAGGAAAAAAAGAAGTCAAAACAGAAGAAAAATCACACCAGAGATAGTGAAATTTTTTTTTTTATCATTTTTAGTGTTATACACGGAGCACAATTTTATATATGATATTATACCTATATACACGGATATATGTTATGTATCACACACACACACACACACACACACACGAAACACTCACACACGCACACAAAAAAAAAAACAAAATACACACACAATCCCCGACAAAGAGAAAGACACACACACAAACGAATCTATGTATATACACTGAGTGATATTAGTAGTAAATAAAATGGCTAAACTAACGATCAAAGTTAATTGTTTTAATTTATTTGAGAGGGGATTCCCGGAGTCCTAGTTGGGGCTTTAAGCTGGGGGTAAACGCTGTTAGAATTGGGAGAATAAAGTATATAATATATTGTTAGATCATTTAAGATCATTTCAAGAAGAGTTTTGGGTGATAAATATAAACTTAAGACTTTACATACTTAATTTATAAATAATGCACAAATAAACAACTTTAAACAATAAAAAGAAAAAAAAATACTACTACAAGGTAATCGTAAATACAAAATAAAAAGCTATAACATATAGACTAATAATTTTCAGTCAAAAGCTTGTAACTCATAAAGGAATCATTTGCGATCCTATAAATCATATATATTCTTGATCAGTACAAACAGCCGAATCGATCTAGTCGTGTCTAGAGGAAAACAATTTTTTCGAAATTTTGTTCAAATTTTTATCATTAAATTTGATATAGTTAAGAATGTAAAATTTGACAAAATTTTAAATTGAGTTAATTGTAAAACCAAGTATGCAGGTTTTTTAACCCTATAAAAACTAGCACAGAACAGCTTTCCGAATGGAAATTATTGCATTTTTGGCTTAGTTATGCATTTTTTAAACTTTGATTTATCATAATTTGTCATATAAATTTATTGATAAATTTCGGGACAAGGAATAGTATATCATTTTCAGTCAGAAGCTTATAACTCATGAAGAAGGCATTTCCGACCCCATAAATCATATATATTCTTGATCAGCATTAAAAGCCGAATCGATCTAGCCATGTCTGGAGCAAAACATTTTTTTCGAATTTTTTTTCAAATTTTTATTATTAAATTTGATATAGTTAAGATTGTAAAATTTGACAAAATTTTAAATTGAGTTAATTGTAAAACTAAATATGCAGACTGATTTACCTTATAAAAACTTGCACAGAACAGCTTTCCGAATGGAAATTAATGCATTTTTGGCTTAGTTAAGAATTTTTTTAACTTTGATTTATCATAAATTGTCATATAAAATTATTGATAAATTTCGGGACAAGGAATAGTATATAATTTCAGTCAGAAGCTTATAACTCATGAAGAAGGCATTTCCGACCCTATAAATCGTATATATTCTTGATCAGAATTAAAAGCCGAATCGATCTAGCCATGTCTGGAGGAAAACAATTTTTTCTAAATTTTTTTCCAAATTTTTATCATTAAATTTGATATAGTTAAGATTGTAAAATTTGACAAAATTTTAAATTGCGTAAATTGTAAAACTAATTATGCAGACTGATTAACCTTATAAAAACTTGCACAGAATAGTTTTCCGAATTGCATTTAATGCTTTTTAGGCTGCGCTATAAGATTTTATACTTCGATTTTTCGAAAAAATGGCCATATAAAAATATTTATAAATATCGTGTCAACAAAATTGTATAATAATTTAAGTCGGAAGCTTAAAACAGTTTAAAGAAAATAAGAACTAATATACATAACATTAATACATATGATTTTATATGATAATAATTCGATTTTGACCAAAGTCAAAACAAAAATCGTATAAAATAATTATACCTTAAATTTTAATACCCTCCAAAAGTATAATAACACTAGAAATATTAATATAAAGAAAATAGGGCATTAAGGAGATAAATATATAAGTAGAGTTTCATTTAGATTCGCTTGCATTCAGTTTTTGTTGTTTTTAGATTCACAAATTCACAAATTGCCAAGAATAAAAAAGGTAAACAAAGGCAGCAGCTTTGCACATGTCAAAATTGACACCCAAAAGAGAGGATCGTACTCCCTCGTGGCTCTCTCGCTCTTTGTTTCCATTTTCCTGGGCGAGCACAGAGCCAGTAACGGTACTTTTACGAAATGAATACTCAAGGATCGGAGAAAAGAAAAAAAATGCGCGCGGCAAGCAACAGAAAGTCAAGGATAAAAGAAAAAGGAAAATAGCTTTGCTTCACTCACCCGTTACCGTTTTTTTTTTGGCTGCAGATTCTAACGGCGAATTAGTGGACGAAGAACATGAACACTTGCTTACATTTGTTGCACTTGCACAAAAAAAAACAACAAAATTAACACTGCACTGCCGGTGATCGACGATTTTCCGCACTTTCCACGTTTTTCCGAAACGTTAACCGCCGCATCGATCTGCATAGAGACCGCTTTCGCTTTCCCTTTTTGCTCCCCCGCTTCGGCCGAGGATAAAAGCAATAAGAAAATCGTTTTGTTTCACTCACACGCTTACGTTGGTGTTGCAGCAGATCTGCAATGGCTGCAAATGGCGAATAAGAAAACGAAGACACACACAAAAAAATAGAAAAAAAACATTGCACATTCTCATTTGTTGCACTTGCACATTAAAAAAAAGCCACAATACAACAATTAGCCAGAATAATGCACTGATCTGGCCCATACACATACATACATACATTCACTACCATACGTACGTATGTATGTACGGTGGTTTGGTTTAGGAGCTAAAAAACACACGATTTGGGGCTGTTGCAGGCTTGCCCCCACTTCACCAACACTTCACTGCCGTGGCCCGCCGATTTTCCGAACTATTGACACTTGTCACAGGTTTTTCCGTGGTAGTTTTACGTTGAAATTTAACTTTTACCGGAGCGGCGATCCGCACAGCGACCTTTTCGTTCTTTTTCCCGCCGTTTTTTGCTCTGCTTTTCGTCCGGACGAGGACGATTTTCGATAGCCGCCGTGAGAGGTCGCTTCGATAATAGAAGATGGCGATTGCTTAGGATTGTGGGCGAGAGGGGGATACGGCGATGCCACTCTATAAAAACTTTTACTTTCGACTGATCCGGTATATAAATACATTTTAAATAAAAGTAAACACAGCCACTACATATTATGCATGTTTATTTAAAGGACTAAGACTTTGATTTACATATTAACATAAGCTTTTAAACTGACTGCTGGTGGCGATGAAAGGCAGCTAAAACAGACACACCTCATCCTAGAGCTTGATACTTGAAACACAGAGATGCCCTCAATTACGGGGGGAATGACTTTGAGGACCTCTGATTGCTCTCCACGGTGGCCTACAAATAAAAAAGGGCTCATTTCCATGCCCGAGTAGGTGCCACAGGCATTTTGAGTACATTATTAATAATTAAGGACCTTAGAAACCACAACAGCCAAAGCAAAAGTCTTTGCTAATAGATAACAAATTGAATTCAAAGCCGAATCCTCAGTCTGATTCACATACTCCAATCGCTTACGGTCTATATATATGTGCAAGTATAGTATATGGCGTTTGATCAACAGCAGTGCTTAATGCATATTGTTTAATGCTTAATGGCTACGCGAATCGTACAAAACGACAGACAAATGTAACAGCGAGCGAAGCTGGCGCATCGTGGAAGATATATGTATATATGTATATAAGTAGTATGTATATCCTGGATCTAAAGATGGATCCGCATCTGTACTTTGACTTATTTGGCCTGAGAGTAGCGCCTGGGAGGTCCCAGCTCCTCCTGTTAGTTACCGGTCGCTGTGGTCGCCGATTCAGCAGTTAGCTGCTTGAAGATCACCGCCGTGATTCTGCCATCGTTCCGGATGACACATCGCCTGCAAGGCTCATGATTAATAATTAATAAATTCATTATTATTACAAAATGCACAAACTTGTTGCCGCTGTACAGGCAAATGGTGGCCGGAACCGTGCTGTTCGGCTCCAGCTTAGCCACCTGCTGCGCAATGGCCATTCCAATGCCGGATACATTCGGATCGATGTCGCCCTTGGCTAAAGAAAAGGCAATTTGCTTAATATATATTCATATTTATATATAATCCTTGGCAGAAGACTCACCGACCAGGCACAGACCCTGACGATTCGCCACCAATGCTCCCACCGTGTCCGGCCGCGCAGAGCTGAAAATTAGAATAATTAGGCCATATTCTTGGCATTATTGACTTGCCTACATATCCGTCAACACCTCTTCCAGTTTGGTTTCCATGGTCGAAGCTGGTAATTCGCAAAATTCACTTAAGTCGAACGGAAAACAAAGCAAAAAACCAAAACAATGATATTCGATGAGGGACCAGTGTGACCGCTCGATATAAGTGACAAAAAACCCAAATAAAGAGCAAAATACCACGAATACATCGATAAATCGATGTTTTTTGTTAGCGAATATCGGAATGTTTTAGCTATAGCTTGTATTTTACATTTATCAATATAAATCAATAAACTGCATATCGATTGCAATAAAAATTAATGTATAAATAGTAGTAATATTTAATTATACAACGGAAGCCTGAAAGCTTTTGAATCTTACGGCATTGATGCCGACTTTCTTCCCAGTTGTTAGCTATTTTCCAGCTGCCAGCCCGCCAAAAGCAGCTACTTGCTAGCGAAAAGTTGGCAGCACTGGCAACCAGGGAAGGCCGCACCGTAAACATCGCCAGAACCGAACACGTCAGCTACGATTGATTAACAAAAAAACGATTTGTTTGTGATAGCGCCCCCCGCAAATCCGATTGATCTGCTGCAGCCTCCGTCCGCGTACGCATCCGCATCCGCCAAGTATTTCCGTGGACCCAACGCTGCTCCAAAATGGTAAGAAAGCGGTAGACCTACGGCACACACACACACACACACATGCGGACACCGCGACACGCACACACCTACACGTCGGCTAATCGGAAATTGCAAAATATTACTAAACGAAATCGTATCACCTCCCGCTCTCCCCCTCCCCACCCCTGACAGGTACTCATCGCTGCGGCAGTCTGCACGAAGAATGGCAAAGGTAAGTGAGATGCATAAAGATCCTGGGTAGGAGAAAGATCCACAAACTCACACACACAAAAACAAACACACACGCACTCTGTTTCCTCGTAGTGATTCTGTCACGTCAGTTCGTGGAGATGACGAAGGCACGCATCGAGGGACTGCTGGCCGCCTTTCCCAAGCTGATGACCGCCGGCAAGCAGCACACGTACGTGGAGACGGACTCGGTGCGCTATGTCTACCAGCCGATGGAGAAGCTCTACATGCTGCTAATCACCACAAAGGCCAGCAACATACTGGAGGATCTGGAGACGCTGCGCTTGTTCTCGAAAGTGGTGAGTACAGCTGGGAGCCGAGAAAGAGCACCTCAGTATCATATCTCTGCCGCAGATCCCCGAGTATAGCCACTCGCTGGACGAGAAGGAAATTGTGGAGAATGCCTTCAACTTGATCTTTGCCTTCGATGAGATCGTGGCACTGGGCTACCGGGAGAGCGTTAATCTGGCCCAGATCAAGACCTTTGTGGAGATGGACTCGCACGAGGAGAAGGTCTACCAGGCGGTGCGGCAGACACAGGAGCGCGAGGCACGCCAGAAGATGCGCGAAAAGGCCAAGGAGCTGCAGCGCCAGCGCATGGAGGCCAGCAAACGTGGCGGTCCCTCACTGGGCGGTCGCAGCGGCGGCTTCAGTGCCGATAGCTTTGGCAGCAGTGGCATTAGCAGCAGCTCTGGCGGTGGCGTCGGCGGCGGCTCCAGTGGCGGCATGGGCGGCATCACCTCCATTGACTTGGACAGCTCCAAGTCCAAGGTGGCACCGTAAGTGAAGCCTTTCTCCTGATCCTGTTTCTCTGTGACTGTAATCTTTGGTATCTTTTTAGGAAACCAACTTCGCGCAATGCCCTCAAGTTGGGTGGCAAGTCCAAGGATGTGGACAGCTTTGTGGATCAGCTGAAGAGCGAGGGCGAGAAGATAGCCAATCTGGCACCGGCAGCTCCGGCTGGAAGCTCCAGTGCTGCGGCCAGTGCCAGTGCAGCAGCAGCCAAGGCCATCTCGGCGGATATACACAGGGAGAGGTAAGTTTCTAAGCTTTCCCCAAGGCTTGTGGCATATAATTTATTGGTTTCCTGCCTTTAGTGTACATCTGAAGATTGAGGATAAGCTGGTGGTTCGCCTGGGACGCGATGGCGGCGTCCAGCAGTTCGAGAACTCTGGCCTGCTCACGCTGCGCATCACGGACGATTCATATGGCCGGATCTTCCTGAAACTCTCACCGAACCACACACAGGGCCTGCAGCTGCAGACTCATCCCAATGTGGACAAGGAGCTCTTCAAGTCGAGGAACACGATTGGTCTGAAGAATCTGGGCAAGCCGTTCCCCTCAACACCGATGTGGGTGTGCTCAAATGGCGCTTTGTCTCGCAGGATGAGTCGGCCATTCCACTGACCAGTAAGTCTCCGGGTTTGCCGCTCTCTCCCGCTGGTGTAGTTGACATCATTACGTCTCGCTCTTTTTCCAGTCAACTGCTGGCCGTCGGACAATGGCGAAGGTGGCTGCGACGTGAATATTGAGTATGAACTGGAGGCGCAGCAGCTGGAGCTGCAGGATGTGGCCATTGTCATACCCTTGCCGTGAGTGCAGATCCTCGATCAGGATCGGGATATCACTATTTTATAGATGCTTATGCTACGCCCTTTTTTTGCAGCATGAATGTCCAGCCATCGGTGGCCGAATACGATGGCACCTACAACTATGATTCGCGCAAGCATGTCCTCCAATGGCACATTCCCATCATTGATGCCGCCAACAAGTCCGGTTCCATGGAGTTTAGCTGCAGTGCCTCCATACCTGGAGACTTCTTCCCATTGCAGGTGTCGTTTGTGTCAAAGACACCGTATGCCGGCATTGCCGCCGAGGATGTGGTGCAGGTGGACAACGAGGCGGCGGGGGTCAAGTATTCGTGCGAATCGATACTGTTTGTGGAGAAGTACGAGATCGTGTAGGTGGGGTCACCACAGCCATGGCCGCCACCCCTCCCCTAGAGTAGTACATAAATAATTCATATACATATATAACACTAGAAATCCATATGTTCTTTTTCTAAGATTCTGTCTCTGCCTGCTGTCTGCGAAACCTGTTAAAGATTATTTTTACACGAGGCAAAATTATTCCAAATGAGAGAGGTTTATCATCGAAAGAAAAACTATTAAATAAAACTTATTTTGTGCACTCCCAGGCGCTGCGTCTAACGGTATATATATATATTAAAATAAATGAATTGAAAGGCAACATTTGCTTTAGTTTTTTTTTTTTTTGGTAAATATTAAAGGCTCTGCTGATACCCCGTTATCGTTAAATGGATTGTTTTTTATGCAAAATGCTATGAATAAACTATGTATACTATATTTGTATGCTTATGCCCACATATTTAAGGGGTTTGTGTTTTAATTAATTAATTATAGTTCCTCTCAAATACAATTTTCTACTGATAAAGCTTAAAGAACATTGGGTGTTTCTGGTATAGCATGTATTATTCTAATTAACTTAGTTTATTTTTTAAAATTGGTGTTATTATTTTAAAAACTATAAATAATTTCCAAAATTATGTTTCATTTCATTTCATTCTATTTAAAGGTTTATATAATTTATTTTGAATTTTGTATATCCCTTGCAGGGTATTTTAATGCCAGTCAGAAGCTTGTAACTCATGAAGGATGCATTTCCGACCCTATAAATCATATATATTCTTGATCAGCATTAAAAGCCGAATCGATCTAGCCATGTCTGGAGCAAAACTATTTTTTTGATTTTTTTTTCCCAAATTTTATCATTAAATTTGATATTGTTAAGCATGTAAAATTTGACAAAATTTTAAATTGCGTAAATTGTAAAACTTAATATGCAGATTTTTTAACCCTATAAAAACTAGCACAGAACAACTTTCCGAATTAAAATAAATGCATTTTTGGCTTAGTTATGAATTTTTTTAACTTTGATTTGTCATAAATTGTCATATAAAATTATTGATAAATTTCGGGTCAAGGAATAGTATATAATTTTCAGTCAGAAGCTTGTAACTCATAAAGGAATTATTTCCGACCCCATAAAGCATATATATTCTTGATCAGCATTAAAAGCCGAATCGATCTAGCCATGTCTGTAGCAAAACATTTTTTTTCGAAACTTTCTTCAAATTTTTATCATTAAATTTGATATAGTTAAGAATGTAAAATTTGACAAAATTTTAAATTGCGTAAATTGTAAAACTTAATATGCAGATTTTTTAACCCTATAAAAACTAGCACAGAACAGCTTTCCGATTTGAAATTAAAGAATTTTGGGTTGAGTTATGATATTTCAAAATCATTGATTTGGCCTAAAAATTATCTTTTTTAAATATATAGATTTAAAATCGCTAAATTGGGTTACTTTTAGGTCTATATCAAGGCCAAAAAGAGAATGAATTCGACATTAAAAAACAAATTAATTAAAAATAAAATACTTGCAAAAATCGAAAAAACTCATTTACTCCATTGTTTTTAATTTTAAAATCATCATTATCATATTTACATTTTAAACTCCCATATAATGGTTCCTTAAGTAACTTATTTAAAGAATTTGTGGTTTAATTATGATAGATTACAAATTTGGTCCCCTAATCCTATCCAAAACTGCAAGGGGTATAAACTTTGTCTTTTAAAATATAAAATAACCAAATTTCCTTCTTTTGAAGTCCCAAAAATTAAACTTGGTTTCTTCACTAAGAAAACTGAGAAAAGAAACGACAGAAAAACGGGAAATATAAAATAAATTTATATATAGATAGAATTTATGTTGGTATTGCCAAATAACTAAGCTTCTCTCTTTCTCTAGTGTCCAGCTAGTCGTCCAGTGTGAGTGTCTCCACATGGCTGGCGATCGACGCCGCCGCCGTTGCGGCCTCCTTTGCCGGCTGATCCCCCTCCTTCTGCTTGGCATACTCCACGCTGAGGAGACGCATCACCTGGGCGGCTGTCAAGTGGTCCTGCTTGAACTTCTTGAAGTTCTCCTTGACAAACTTGGCGAAACCCTTAGCCTGGCCCGCCGGCGTGGACACTGTATTGCCCTGTTTGTCCTTCTTGTTCAGCAGGAGTGTGATGGGACCGCGGCAGCGACGACAGCGTAGGTTCTCCACCTTTCGCGAGCGGGAGTGGGCATGAGAGCTGCAAGAGAGGAAGAGAGAGATGTTAGCAGGGATCTCTCCAGTTGAGCTAGACCACTCACGATGTGTTGCAGCTCATACACTTGTAGGTGTACTTGAACTCGATGCTGTAGTTGTGGCACACCTTGATGGGCGGCAGGTCTGGGAGCTTGTCATTGGCCCGCTTGGCCCACATCTTCCAAACCCGTCCATGGCCGCCCTCGCCGTTGAATATCCAGGCGGCGGCATGGCACAGCTCGTGGATGAGGGTACAGCGCAGACGATCGGCCGTGGTTAACACCTTGACGCTCAGCTCAACGACGCTGCTACGCTGATTGTTTCTGTAAGAATCAGTTGGAGGATTATCTGTACAATTTGATAGTCTAGAATATGGGTACCCACTTGCGCTTATTCATGCATCGTCCGGCAGTGTTGCGCAGCAGCTTCGACCAGGTGAGCTCAACATCCAGGTCATTGTTAAAGACCTGGGTGTTGAACATCTTGTAGAGATGCTGCGCCAGCAGCTCCTTGTTCTTGGCAAAGTTCTCCCGATAAAAGTAAGCCTCATTGTCTGCGTCTTCTCGGCTTACTTGGCTTTCGAGGGATTTAAGGAAGCTGCATTTGCCGCGAGGTTCGACCTGGACAGGCTGCACTGTCTTCTTTTTCCTGGCTGTAGACTTGGGCGGCGGCGCTGTTTGCGGCGTTGTCAGTTTCGTGAAAATGGGAGTTCCCTTGGGCGTCTCCGGCTCTATGCCCAGATTTCTTTTCACCTCCTGCAAACGCTTGTAGACCGGCGTGCCCGGCAAATAATCGTTCTCCAGTTCGTCCAGCATGTCCAGATCTAAAGCCTTGTCCACAATTTCACGGGCCTCGTTGTCATCCTCGTAACCAGCGTTTGGTGTGAATAGCTGGCGTCGTGTGGTGGCCTGCGGCGGAGGAGGTGTGGCTGGGAGTTTGGCCTTAGTGGTGGCACGGCAGGATCGCAGAATGTCGTCCAGGCGCCGGTGAAGTTTTGGTGCTGTAAGTAAAAACAGACATTCAAGTATATTCCAAGATTTAAAAGTGACAGTTGACAGTTGACAGTTGACAGTTAACAGTTGACAGTTAAATCTTACACTGGGAATCCTCGTCATCTGGATTGCTAATCACTTCCACCTCATCCTTGGTCAAGTCCAGGTAGGTCAAGTCTTTACCCTTCTTCGGCCTGCTCTTGATGCCTGAATCACTGGAGCTATCGCTGCTAGACTCACTGCCACTGAGTGTGGCATCCGCATCCTCATCATCAGAGGCATCAGTGCCGCTCTCCGAGTCTATGAGCGCCCGCCAGCGATCCTCGTCCACATGGTTGGTGCGCGGACGTTGCGGTCTTGGTCGCCGCTCGGATTGGACGGCTCGGGCAGGTGGTGGCGGCGGCGGCGGCAGGTGAGTGGAGTTCAGGGGCGTCTGATTTGTGCGCAAGGCTCGAGTAACTGGGGATAAGAAGGTTAATTTAAAGAGGAGAAGATGATAATGAAGAGCTTCTTACATATGCTAAAGTCGCCTAGGACACTCTCATCCACTGGCTTTGGCCGCACCGGCTGCCTCTTCTTCTTGGTGGTGGTGGCCGCACTCGGTGGCGCTGCCATGTTCCTGGGCTTTAGAGGAGCCGTCTTGCCGCCACTGCCGCTGGAGCGCTTCAAGGTGCGGATCACATCCGGTGTTTGCCAGGCTTTCCCATAAAGCTGGTTGAGCAGCTTTTCGGCTTGCGTTAGGAACTGTTCGTCCTCGGAGGCATCGCCTGTGGAGAGCATGGACTTTTGATGCTTCTGCGGCTCGAGCGCCTGCTCCTCCACATCCACTAGCTCGGAGCTAATCTTCTGCTGCACATCCTCAGCCACCTGCTCCTCCTGCTCCTCTCCTGAACTCGAGTGCATGGTGGGAATGCTGATCTTGATGTTGATCTTGGCCGAGATATTGATGCTGCTCACTTGTACCGATGGTGCTTCATAGTCGTAGTCGCCTGAGGAGGAGGAGGAGGAGCCGGAACTAGGTCTCGGTGGTGTGGCTTCGCCTTCGCTGCAAGTTTCCGGTATCTCAATGGACTCCTCTGGTATAGGCTCATCCTCCTCCTGCAGCGTCGAGTTGTGACTGTCGTCATGGGAACACATAGTATTCAGTTCGGTATCATTGCTGGCCAGCCGCTGGCTGATACTCTTGACCTCGGGGCTCTCCGGATCCAGAGAGCTCAGTGTGTTGGCCTCGGTGGCATCATCCGCCAGCCGCTTGCTACTGTCCATGTCCAGGACTGTGTCGTCATCCGCCAGTCGCTTGCTGCTGTCAATTGGGCGCGGACTCGATTCCGCTGGCTGCCAATCCTCGTCCGTGTTGGGCGTTGTCATGGATTCTGTGTCGGCTATGGCTATCTGAGATCGTCGTCTTGCTGAGGATGAGCAGGAAAGGGATGATGGGGGTGTGTGATCACCGCCATGACGCTTCACATCACGCAGAAAAGCCTCAATGCGCTGCACTTTGTCACTGGTGAGCATCGACTGCGGCGCCTGTTCTGGCTCTCGTTCGCTTACAGCCATGCTGTCGGGCTCGGGATCGGGCTGCTCCTGGGCCTCGTCCTCGCTGGTATCGGATATGGTGATGCAGGAGGCGTCGTCGTCATCCTCTTCCGTTGTGGAGGAAATACAAATGGAGACCTGCTGGGGCTGCTGCTGCTCCTTGGACTGCACTGTCAGGTGGCTTATGCTGGCGGAGAGTCGCTCCACATCGACGTCTGTATTCTGTTGGCTGCAGCCATCGGCGCTCAGCTGCAGGGCTTCCATATAGTCGGAGCCATCCAATTGCTCCGTCTCCAAATTGTCGCGCATTGCAACTGCTTGCTGGGGTAGCTGCTCCTCTGGCTGTGGCTCCCGATCTCTCCGCTGCTCTTGTCGTTTCTTGTGGGAGGATAGCGTCAGTTTTGAGAATTTCTCATTCAAGGGCACTGTTACTTGGCTCGGATCGACCGCCCGGAACAGTTTATACTTATGATCGGCCATCTTGGTGGCGTCGTTGGCTTCCTAACGGTGAACTCCGGTCGGATTATGCTTTAAGCGCATTCGCCAATTGCCCAAAAATGGAAACAACAAACAAACAGTTAGAATCTTTGAAATACAAAAACAAATACGAACCGAGTGCGCGTCTTTAGCAGGGTTGCATCGGCGCCTATCGTTATCGGGAGTTGAGTGCTAGCCAGGATCAGAGTCCTGTTGGCAGGAAAACAGCCAAATTATATATTAGAGAATATATAAACATATACAACTTAATATTCGGAATATTTCGCATCATTGGAAGGGAAAGGAATGTTCTATTTTATCAAGCTTAAATATTTTTGAATTGCAAACAAGACGTTATTATAGTCAGTAAATTGTTTATGTATAGCTAGAAAAATAGCTAGATTTACCACTAGCCAAGGTGACCGTATTTCACCGCTATTCGGACAACACTGACCGCAAACATAAACAAAAGAGAAGACAAATATTGTGCCGGCCCAATAAACTTTAGTTTTACATTGTTTTAGATCATATTTAAGCCATGGCCAGCGTTTCGTCGGCCCGCGAGTCCCTCTCCCATGCACTGAACAACCGCTTCCTGCCCAATCTCGAGTACTTGCTGCAGGGCTCCATTCTAGACTCGGCCGTGGAACACTTGATGCACAGGTGAGTACATTTCGACGGATTAAACCTCAAATTAATAATAAAACACAAATCCATAGATTAAAAGGCCTGTGCGACAATGTGGACACCTCACCGGAGACCTTTCACGACCTGGAGGTGTGCATGAGCCTGCGCCAGCCCAACTCCAATCAGCCGCTGTTGTTGAGGGTGCGACGCGCCCTCGGCCGTGACGCTCCCTTCCAGATGCGCTACCTGGGCAACCCGGAGGTGGACCAGCGGCGACCCACACTCGTGCGCAGCTGCATGGACTGTGCCTGCACCAATGGCATACTGGAGTTTCTCACAGAGATGGGCTTTCGGCTGGAGTTCGAGTACATAGCCAAGGGTGGGTTATAGAGACCGTCTTTGGAGGCTTTTAACTAAAAGATATTTGTATTATCCCGCAGGCTACATGTTCCGAAAGGGCCGGATGAAGATCACCGTGTCCAAGCTAATCAAAATCGTGCCCGGCAAGCAACAGGATATGGCCAATGAGCCCATCTCGCAGAGTTACATCGTGGAGCTGTCGGTGGTGGCGCCCACGGGGCAGGAGAATGTCGGCGAGGAGATGCGTGTGTTTGCGGAGCAGTTGAAGCCGCTGGTGCAGCTGGAGAAGATCGATTACAAGCGACTGGGCGGCATGCCGTAGACGTAATTAATAAAGGTACTTTAGATAATCATTAATTTATTCTCATACAGATAAGGAATGGATGCCTTCCTGCCCCCAACAGGACAGAATCAATAGAAAAATATACAACATGGAGGGGAAACGCGAAACTGGGGGACGGACATGCATATAACAAGTTTAGACTAATCGTTGAAGGCCTCGTTGAGCGCAGCCAGATTGCGATCGGCAACATGTCCCTGCAGATCGCTGCGTCCCATCAGCGAGATGACCATCTTGACGGTGCTCCATATCGATTCAGACATCTGATTCTGTCCCGTGCTGGCCGCCGCCGGAAGCTCCCTGGCGGCATTCGTGTGCGCCTGCATGGTGAGCGCCGTAAGCAAATGCTCCACCGCCTCCTTGTACGCCTTGAGGTTCATGCAGCACACACCGACGTTGTAGCGCACTCGTATGAACCCGGGCTGAAGCTGCAGGGCATGCTGATAGGCCTCCACCGCCTCCACGGATCGGGAACCGTTGGCCAAGCTGGCGCCTAAACGATTCCAAGTCTTGGCATTCTGCGGATCCACCTGTAGGGCCGAGTTGTAACAATCCACCGCCTTGTCAAACTCCCCGGAGAGATTGTACAGCACGCCGAGGGCCTCCTGGACATCGGCATCCACCTCCGAGGGATGCTGCCGCACTGCCTCCAAGTATATTTGCTGCAAATCGCGCAGCTTGCTCGGTCCAATTAGCGACGAGGCCAGCGAAGTGCCCTCCGCCTGCAGCTCCGGATGCATGGCCACAAGGTGCTGATACTTGGGATGCACCGCCAGCCAGCTGCTCAGCATGCGTACCGCATTGTTCTGGAGTCCCTCGTTCGTGTAGCAGACGGCCAGGGCCATCAGAACTTCACGGTTCTCCGGCTGTAGATCATGCGCCCGCTTCAGGGCCGCTATCCCCTGCGGATCCATCTCATTCTCGGCCTGCGAGGTGCCCAGCAGCTGCCATACCTCGGCCCGTTCCGGTTCCTTTTTGGCGGCCACCTCGAAGCAGAGAACGGCACTGGGTATATCACCCTTGGCAAGGTATTCCTTTCCCTTCTCAAAGGCGTTCTCCAGCTCCGCCATGGGATTCTCCTCGGCGAACTCGTACTCCTTGTACGCATCCAGGTTGTCGTTGAATTCGGAGAGCCACGGATGCTCGTTCTCCTCGGCCAGCTTCTGCCATTCGTCCTGCAGGCGCTGCCAGAACTTCTCATTGAAGTTCGCCGCCGTCTGCTCCTTCTGCTCGGCGCTGCGCTGGTAGTCAGTGATCCAATCGTCCAGGGATTCACCCTTGGGCGCCGCTGGCAGATTGTCCGTAATGATCGTCTCCATGTTGGAGTCAAAGAACGGATCCTGCTGTTGATGGGAGGTGCTGGGCCCCGCCGTGATGGCCATGTACGGCGGTCGGAAGTTCTGGCTGCGAATCAGTGGCTCATCGAAGAACTCCTGGGCATGCTGGAATTCCTGCTCCTGAGCCTGCATGTGTATCATCTTGTTGGGCAACGCAGGTGCCAGGCCCCGTTGAAAGTCCTGGCCCCACTGCTCGGCCTGCTGCTGGTGCATCTGCTGGGGATGCATCCCCTGGATGTTAATGTCCCGCATCTCCTGCAGCAGTGTGTCCATTTGGAAGGATTGCGGCGGTGCAGAGACCTGGCCCAGGAACTCGTTGATTAGCTGCTCCTCGGGACGGGCCCCCCGCTCGAATTGGCGCTGCACGAAGCCCTCATCCTTGTGGGCAACATCGCGGGTGAACTGGCCGCCCAGCTGCATCAGCGGATTCACGCCGCCGCAATCCCCCTCGACCAGCGGGCGGAACGACATGGTGTGTTCGGGTGTGCAGTGTACAGGTGGATCCTACGTAACTGTTGACGGGAGGCCACAACGATAAGGAAAGTAAACTAAAGTCCACAACAAAGGTCAAAATGTCCAAAAACAACAATGAAACCGCGGAGTGTGCCCGTTTTTTGTATATTACGCGGTCACACTTGATTGCATGCTATCGATAGTGTTATCGATCGTCCATCGGGCAATCTTTGCGGTCATACTAATTAGGGCTGTAGGATATTTTAAGAAATATCGTATCGCTGATTCTTGTTGTATAAAAAAAATATAATAATACTATAAAATATAAGTTTAAATTATCGGAATATTGATATTTTGATATATTTTCAACAACCCTAATCAAAATACTTGCTGCATAAGTTACCCAAATGGTCAATTTGCGATAGTCTTGCACGCACATTGTATATTTATGTAAAACCTTCTACACTTTTCTTTGCAATGATGGTAACTTAAGGAAAAGAGCGGAAAAAAGAGCAAATACGTTTAAAATAAAATACAGAATTCCCCTAATTTCGAAACAATAGATTAAATAATGTGAAAATATCAGTTTAGGGACCAAGAACCTGTACAACGCGAGTATATCTCCCAATACTTTACATTTTAATATAGAGGTTAACGTGTGAAAGCCACGATTATATAAAATGAATGTTTTATTAGATGTTCTTCTATTTTAATTGTCTATTGTTTAATTTATAACAATATCGAAAATTTAAACTGCCATGGCAAACTAGTTATCACAGACCGTTTCCTTCTTTGTCAAATTGGGTTCTTTGTAAGATGTAAGATGTAAAATGTTAAATAACAGCTTCGAAATTCAGAGTGACCAAAATAAAATATAGCAAATATCTGTAAGCGCGTAAAAATGTTTTCTAGACATGTATGGAGTAAAACGTTTAATAACAGCTTCGGCATTCAGAATGACCAGAAACCAAATATCAGCAAATACAACAAATTTATTGATTTAATGTGATTTTGATATATTTTCGACAACCTAAAAACGACCGACACTCAACAGCATCCGATAGCGAGTTCTGTTAATTTACATCCAACGGACAGCACCCGAGTGAGAATCTTACATTTTACATGAGAATTCGACCCCATGTATCTATAAACATGTAAAATGGTTATCCAGACACGTAAGTTGTAAAATGTTAATTAACAGAGTCGGAATGCAGAGTGACCAGAACAAAGATATGACAAAATATAACACAAAGTAAAAACAATCCGATTTTGCGGTAATTTTGTTTTTGTTTTCAACGTGAGCGGACGTGAAATCTGTGATGCGGCGACAGGTAGCAGGTGGCGTAGTTTACCTTTACCGCTCTGCGAAAGTCAAGCCGCGACAACAACGGCAACAATAACTATAATCGCAACAACATTCTTAATTGTGTTTACCTTTGATTGCCGCTGCTGCAGCGAGGAAAAGTGAGACTGGCGACTGAAATAACTGCGATTCGTGCGTGTGTGTTTGTGTCTTGTCGCGTCCTCCGCCGCCGCCCGCCCTGTTTTTGTTTGTTTGTTTTTTGGTTCTTATTCTCACTGTCGCCGTTCCTGCCTCTGTCTCTGTCGCTGCAAGTGCACTCGGTTTTCCTTTTCCCCAATTGGAATGTGCAGCCAAAGAAAAGCAGAGCAAAGCCACAACAACAAGGCAAAGGAAGAGGGCAAATAAAAGAACAAATCAGAGAAACAACGGTATTTTGTCAACGAGAAAACCGAGGAGAATTTTATATAAGCACTAAAAGCACATAGCATAATCTACTATTCACATACATTCTGCCACACAACAACAACAACAACAACAACAACAACAGCACTCGCAATAAAAACAAGGCAACCCAACCTACTACATCTACAACTACAGCAACAACAATAACTGAAGAATAAGCAACGACGAGGCAACGGCAAAAAGTACTAATAAATACAATTTTACACATTCACATTCCATTTTTGATTCTTTTGTGTGTGAAAAACTTATAAGAGATAAAAGCAACAAGAACAACAAAGCAACACGAAACCAACGGCAAATAACAAAAGTATCAGCAGCAGCAGCAGCAACAAAAACAACAACAGTAAGCAGCATAGCAAAGCAGCGACGTTGACGACGACCGCGGCAGCGAAGAAGAAGAAAGATAAATACATAGCAATTTCGACTAAATAAAGGTATGTGCTACGACGATTTTACTTGACTTTATTATTACTAACTATACTAGGCGAACGGGCGCGAGCGAGCGAGATGGATGCCACTCGCACACACACACACACTCGCACATTTCATTATTAGTTTAACTCTTCAATTTATTATTGTTATTATTGCTGCCTTGTGGCTCTGCTCTGCTCTCTGGCTCTCTTGCTCCCACTCTAGGCTAGCTCCATCCCGTTTGCTCGCTCCTTGGGGCGCCGCTCTCAATTGGGGGGCTCTTGCTCTCTGGCTCTCTCCAGCTAGTTCTTAGCCGCCGTCGTCGTAGTTGTTGTTGTTGTTGTTGTTGTTTCTGGCATTAACTATGTTCACTTGAGCGCAGGAATAGTTACGTTAAATCAGTGCGTTTAGTGGTATTTGTGTTTGTGTTTGCGCTTGGGAATATGATGTCTGTCTGTGATGTCTGTGATGTCTGTGCGTGTGTGTGTGTGTTGTGTGAATAAAGATTACGCTTTTTGAATATATGCCTACGAAAATGTTTAAGAAATATGTACATACTTATATATCGGCACAATTGTAGTTGAGTTATATTTGCCTTTTGCCCGTGCATGTGCATATTTGTACGCGAGTGTGTGTGTTTATTGTTCTTTCGTATATTTGATCAACCGCTTGATAAAATAGAGAGAAAAACAACCAAGTCAGGTTAAAACGAGCACACGTCGGTATGTTTATATCTATAAGTGCTTTCCTATGTCTGTATGTGTACATAAATTGAATTAAGTGAAATTGTTGTTATTATAGTTGCCGTTATTGTTGTTAGCGGAAATTTCTATACCGCATGTTCAGACTTCAAAATCGTCGATCATTGAGTTCGAACTAAAAAACAAAATCGAAAAGAAATGAAAAGAAAAAGAAAACACATTCCCAACACACTCATGTAGAGCAACAACCGTTACTTTGACAGTTGGACAATTCTGATTGGGATCTTTGTATCTGTGTGTGAGTTATGCAACATTTCCAGATTCTCCAAAGATCCAAATATCTACAAAATTAATCACATCTCCCGATGGCAATTGGGCCTAATCGTTTTTCCATTCTCCCCATTCTCCAAGTTTTCCACTTCCACCTAAGCAATCATTATCTATTTATTGTCTCTCTATTTAGAAAAAAAAATTAACTAATATAAAGAACAATAATTACTAAGAAATACAGGCATACGTATAAAAGCAATTTTAGATTATTTCAAAGCATATCGCTTTTTCCTTAAGTTATTTATAGCTAAAACTGCTATTGACTTCTTTAACCCGAACTGCTATCTCTCCCAAAACGTATAAATATAATTAATTATATAGAGACTGTATTAAAAAGTTTTTAATATTTACAACGGAGACATCTTATAAAGGTTCTAGTTATTAATTATTAAGTAAGGATACTTTGAGAAACTGAAGTTTATATACCTTTAAAGTTTCTAATTGATTTAGACGATCGTATCGAAAATGGATCATATCTCATATTATATGAGTATTTCTTTGATAATTCAAAGTTTAAAAAAGGCATAACTAAGCCAAAAATGCATTAATTTTAATTCGGAAAGCTTTCCTATGTTAGTTTTTATAAGGTTAACAAATCTGCATACTCAAATCATAATTTAAAATAATTTAAAATTTTGCCAATTTTTTACCATTTCAATTATGGAAAAAAAACCTTCTAAAATATTGAAAAAATTTTCAAAAATTGTTTTCCTCCAGAGACCGCTAGATCGATTCGGCTGTTCATGCTGATCAAGAATATATATGGCTTATAGGGTCGGAAATGACTTCTTCGTGAGTTATAATCTTCTGACTGAAATTATTATACCATTTTTTGAGGCGATATTTATCTATATTTTTATATGACAATTTTCCTACAAGTAAAAGCTTAAGGATCTCATAACTAAGCCAAAAATTGATTAATTTTAATTCGGAAACTAGTCCAATGTTAGTTTTTATAAGGTTAATAAATCTGCATACTCAAATCATAATTTAAAACAATTTAAAATTTTGCCAATTTTTGACCATTTCAATTATGGATAAAAACCTTGTAAAATATTGAAAATAAATTTTCAAAAATTGTTTTCCACCATTGATGGCTAGATCGATTCGGCTGTTCATGCTGATCAAGAATATATATGATTTATAGGGTCAGAAATGACTTCTTCGTGAGTTACAAGCTTCTAAATGAAATTATAATACCATTTTTTGAGGAGATATTTATCTATATTTTTATATAACAATTTTCCTACAAGTCCAAGCTTAAGAAACTCATAACTAAGTCAAAAATTGATTAATTTTAATTCGGAAACTAGTCCAATGTTAGTTTTTATAAGGTTAATAAATCTGCATACTCAAATTATAATTTAAAACAATTTAAAATTTTGACAATTTTTGACCATTTCAATTATGGATAAAAACCTTATAAAATATTGAAAAAAAATTTTCAAAAAATGTTTTCCTCCATTGATGGCTAGATCGATTCGGCTTTTGATGCTGATCAAGAATATATATGATTTATAGGACCGGAAATGACTCCTTCGTAAATTATAAGCTGACTGAAATTAAAATACCATTTTTTGAGGCGATATTTATCAATATTTTTATATGAAAAATTTTCCTACAAGTAAAAGCTTAAAAAACTCATAACTAAGGCAAAAATTGATTAATTTTAATTCGGAAAGCAGTCCAATGTTAGTTTTTATAAGGTTAATAAATCTGCATACTCAAATTATAATTTAAAACAATTTAAAATTTTGACAATTTTTGACCATTTCAATTATGGATAAAAACCTTATAAAATATTGAAAAAAAATTAAAAAAAAATGTTTTCCTCCATTGATGGCTAGATCGATTCGGCTTTTGATGCTGATCAAGAATATATATGATTTATAGGGTCGAAAATGACTCCTTCGTGAGTTACAAGCTTCTAAATGAAATTATAATACCCTGTAAGGGAATAAAAACACAAAGAAACCAATTATTTGCACATTCTTCAGCTTGGCAAAGCTGCAAGATTCCTGTTTTATGCGATCTCTACTGATCCTTTGCCTATTTTTGGCCCTTCCCTTTTTATTAAGCTGCCAAGCCAGCTAGCTGGCATTTGCAGAAAAAGGTAAAAAAAAAATATAAGGAAAACTAAAGAAAAAACCTAAAGCTAGAGAAAAAAATTAAACCCACTAGACGAGTGAGCTGCACATATTTGTTAACATTACCATTACCATATCCCATTTCCAATTTCCATGCTCGCTTCTCTGTGACTCAGAAGACAGCAACAAACAGCAACAAACAGCAACAACAATAATAATAATGGCAGCGACAAAGGCTGAAATAAAAACGGCAACAACAATAATGGCACACACCTATTTATGTGGTTGCACACACACAACAGTGTACACTTAAAAAAAGTCGGCGATATGCATATGTAACTACTCGAGTATCATTAAATGCAGATCTCTATAAAAGCATAAAATATACAGCAAAAAAAAGAGACGGAGAAGAAGAAGAGGCATAAGCTGGGAAGTAACATTGTTGGCTTGATCGTTTACCCTTTCCACAGGGTATTATTAGCTTTTAAACAAAGTTTGCAACGTAACTTAGAGTAGAGCTTCGATTTCTCTTATTTATTAAATTTGAGTGGTTTGCCTTTTTATTACGAAGAAATAAACCTAATTAAATAACTATAATTTAGAATCCAATAATTATATACAACAATTTTCTTTAAAATTTGTAATCATAAGAAACCCCATATAGTATTACGCTATTTTGTGGAAATATTTCCACCTGCCCTTGTTTCTGTTGCAAGTTCTATATAAATTGAAATCGAGCCATTATGTTATCTGAGACATTAGAACACCTGAACGTCTGAACTTGGCTTGAAGATATTTTAAACTTTAAGTTAGTTTCTAAAGAATTGCTTTGTTTTTACTTTTGGAAAGTAATTTTCTTGTAAATGTTCTTAAAATGAGATTACATTTAGAAGGTCTTGAGCTTAATCTGTAGTTCCAAGTTATTTATTTATTCATTTGTTTATTTGTTCATTTATACTTGTTAACAATCAAAATGTTTGCGTATCCTCAAAATTAATGAAATTGAAAAACTTAGAAAAGGGTATCACAGATATTCGCTACGTATTGAGGTTAGCCTGTGTCTACTGCTTGCTTTATAACCACTACCAATACCCACGCACACATGCCCGCCTGCTTGCACACATGCACATGCACTGCCAACAATCCATAATAATCTTCCCGTAATTTATAGTCCAAGACAATTTATGTAATTTACAAATACCAAAAACGAAAGAGACGGCACGAAAGGCAGCGCACAGCGAAGAGTGGAGAGTGAAGAGCGGATGAAACGATGAGAGCGAATGCAACTGCTGCAACTAACGATAATAACAATAACGAAAAATACATATAATAAAAACAGAGAAAAAAACAACAACAACAACGACAGCAAAGCAGCAATAAACAGCTACAGCAACAACTGCAACAATAGCGCACTAAATAAACAATTCAACAAATTTGATCCGAGGCAAACACACACACACACACTGACAATCATAGACAACAGACGACTACGACTCACACGCACATAAAAAAATGCATATGGAGAAAAAAAAACATATATAAAAATATGTATGTACGTATGGGAGCAAGAAAATGAATAAAAAATAAAACAGCAGTAAGTGCAGTAACAGAAACAGAAACAGAAATAGCAATAGCAAAGGCAAATGCAAAGTCAATAGCAAAGACAGTGCTGCAAAGACAACCTGCATGCTTAGCAAGCAGCGCCAACTGCTTCGACTGCTTGGCGCGTATACAGAAAATGTCGCTCGCTCGCTCGTCGCGCTCCTTCCTTCCTTCCGTCCTTCGCCGCCGCCGCCGCCGCTGCCGTCACTCGGCTCATTCGTAGATTTAACGCTGTAAGCTGCTATTTGCCGTTTGCTTTGTTTGTTTTTTGCTTCTCAAGTTTGGTGAACGCATAAAATAAAC